GAAAAAAATGGAACAAAGGAAAACTCCCCCAAAGGATTTTACAATAATGAAAATGTTCAAAACCAAAATTTTATAAAAGTAACAATAGAGTATTTGGTTTTTTTTTTTTTTTTTTTTTTTTTTTTTTTTTTTTTTTTTTTGTGAAGAAAAGGTAGTTTGTGCTTTGTCAAAAGTAAAATATTTTGAACTGGCCTTAGGATGATGATGACATTTTATTGCAACATCCCGCTGGTCACAGTAGTCACCAGGAGTTCAGACACTAATGAGCCTCATGTCCTCCCACATGCACCTTGTTTTTCTTTCCCCTTTCCACCCTTATTAGTTCCTAGCTGACCCAAGGAAGACTTTAAAAAAGCTCTCTATTTGTCCTCCACACCATTTTTTTAGTCCTTTCTCAGGCACTTGGTCTTGGTGACTTGTGGGGAATTTTTTCAGAACTCCCTGAAATTCGGTGATCTGTCCTTTGTCGTTCTTTCTTTTCCCTTCCCTTCTCCTTTTTCTGCCTTTTTTCTCGTTCTCTTCCTTCCTTTTCTTCCTTTGTCCCAGGCTGACCTCAGATTCCTCTGGAGTTGTAGGTGGCCTTGTACTCTGCTGACCCCCTGCTTCAGAGTCCCCAGTGCTATGGTTCCAGGCATCTGCCAGGCATGCACCACCATACCAGGTTTCATACATGCTGGGGATCAGACCCATGGCTTCCTGCATGCTTGGCAAGCACTCTGTCAACTGAGCAACTTATTTCCTTCACTTAGAAATGTAGTATAAACTCTTTGTTTTTTAAAGTTAGAAACAGTGTACAATTATTACATTAATTATAAAGAAGGCTTTTTGTTGTGAATATATGTGCATGATATGATTATCACACGTGCCATGGTGTATATGTGGAAGGCAGAGGGTGACTGAAAACATTCTCCTTCATTCTCCTGTGGGATCCAGGAATTCAGCTCAGGTCATTAGGCTTGCACAGCAACTGCTCTTACCCTCTGAGCCCTCTCACCACTCCAAGAAAGCTTTAAAGTCATAAAGTATATACGCCAGGGGATACAAAGATAGTAACAACGCTGTTAATGATGGCTGAGGTTTAAGAAAGTTTAATTAATAGAGAAATACAAATAACTTACATGTGTTCTTTTTGTTTGTATCCCGGTGGACTTTTTGATAATGAGCACGTTGGGAAATTGCTTTCATATTACTTTGCCATAATTGATAAAAACACGTAAACTAATTTCTGTATGTATTTTGAGTTAACTAAACACATTGAAGCTCATGCCTCGGGCAGTCTGCATGTGGCTTTCACCTGAAACCAAACCGTTTCTTTTTCTTTAGGCTCAAAAACAGCAGATCCATGCTGCTATGGTCACACCCAGTTTCATCTGTTACCTGACAGTTTAAATAGGAAAAGACTTTTGAAACAAAACCGAGCTGAACAGGTAGAAGTTGTTTTTAGAGCCAACGCTATTGCAAGCCTTTTTGCTTGGACTGGAGCGCAAGCTATGTATCAAGGTGAGCTAATACTATAGTGTTTTTCATTGTGAAAGTGTCTGTGACATGTTGAGAATGGAATTATTCAGCTTGCTTTCTTTAGGTAAAAATATAGCCGGAATTTTAACATTGAAAATTTTGCACCGGCACAAAATCTGTTTATTTAAATATCCACGATTATATATTTTACATTTGAAATTTGCGAATCCTACATGAGTAATAATTTTGATCCTTTATTTTGATTACCACCTGCATAAATGTATTATTTTCTATTGGCTTTCACAAACATTTCAAAAACTGCTGAGAGTAAGTCAACTCTTTATACTTTCTCTAACTTTTTAAAGTTAGGAAATGATTTGATGTATAAAATATTTACATTCAATCATGGTTGTCACATATAATTTCTGTAAAGATAACATCCATGATTCAAATTAGAAAATTGCTTATTCAATAGATACTCAGTGCAGCACTTTTTTTTTTTACATTTTTATTTTCTTTATTATTTGTGTGTGTTTGTGTGTTATATATATATATATATGATGGCATGTGTACCGTGGCATGCATGTGGCAGTCACAGGACAGTTTTTTGTGGAGTCCATTCTCCTCTTCCACCTACATTTATGATCAAATTCAGGTCTCCAGGTTTATATGGCATACACTTTGCCCTCTGAACTATCTCACCTAAGTGCTTTTGATGTTAGATGCTGTTGGCTTTGGAGGTAGTGTTGAATATCAGACAGACCTTGCTGTGCTCAGGCTTTTATTATAGTAGAGAGTAAAAGATAACCTTATACTATTTTCAGATAGTGGAAATGCTATGGAAAAAGCACATAAAGACTATAATGATTTATGGGTGGTGGTTATAAGTGAGGTGTGCGGCAAAGTCTATTTCAGTAAAGTCCTAGGGAAAGATCACTAAAAATTGGCTTTCAAACAGAGACCTGAATGATGGCAGGTCTCTTAAAATAAGACACTTCAGTTATAGGAATGGCCAATAAAGTCTGAGGTAAGAACAGGTTATAAGCACTTAAGGAACAACATGAAGGCTGGTGAAGATGGAAGAGGAGAATGATGTCAGATGAGATGGCAGAAGCTAGAAGCTCCATCTTGTAGAACTGTATTTATTTTGCTGGGTGGAGTTTGAAACAAAATCTGGTATCTACCAAGCAAATCTCTCAATTAGCTAGACTCTTAGTGTGCTTACCCCTGTATGACTTAGAGCCTAATGTGAGGTGTTTGAATTTTATTGCAAAACCTGAAGTAGCAAAATATGAAATTGATGAATTCTGTATGAAGGCCTAGGAGGAATATTTCTAAATTTCGCTTTTCTCTTTGTATGCATACCTTGACCTTATATGCTCATTGTATTTCTGTAACAGGAATGAAGAGGGTAGGAGAGAGGGGTTAACATGAGAAAAAATGAGGGTAACTGTTAAAGTGTTATAATGACACCATTTATTTATGACACATAAAGTGCTGTTTTATAATGCAATTAATTTTGTATTTTTGCACTGCCACTCATTAGGTTTCTTCATTAAGGATAATATAAAAAATATGTGTGGAAAAGAAAAATTGATGCTTGGCCTTGGTAGTATTTAGAAATAGGAAGGCCAATCAGTCCAGAGCAACAACAATACAACAACAACAAAACAACCCCAGAAAACTTGACTAGAAAAGGCATGAAAGCATCCTGGAGCCCTATGACATAAGGCACCCTAGGTCGGAGGACAATAGCTCTTAAAACCAGTTTTGAAATATGCAAAAAATGACATGCGATTATTTTAAAGACATGATTTTGAAAACCACAAAAGACAGGTATTTTTATCTGGAGGATGTGCTTGTGTGTGCATTTGATGAAATAAGTGGTCATAGTGATTACTGGATGTTAAATGGTGTTGGTGTGGAGAATTTTAAGCATATTTGAAGTCAAACTACTTCCAGATGCAGGAGGTATTTGCATACACAGAGCTTACTGTCTTCTAAACTGAACTAAGTTCAAGTTAAAAGCTAATGAAGGTTGAAGTTATAGAAAAAGTTGAGTCACCAGTTTAGGGTTAATAGAAAGGATGAGTCAACTGTTAATACGGAAAAAATAGGGAAACTTTGAGATCATCAGGAAGTTTGTTAGGTCAAGTTTGTAGGAGGTCTTTACTACCTCCAGTGTGTTTTCTTTGTTTTGATAAAATAGTGTTTGTAAATCTCAACATTACTTTCTTCTGCAGGATTCTGGAGTGAAGCAGATGTTACCCGACCTTTTGTCTCCCAGGGTGTGATCACAGATGGAAAATATTTCTCTTTTTTCTGCTACCAGTTAAATACTTTGGCACTGACTGTACAAGCTGATCAAAATAACCCCCGTAAAAATATATGTTGGGGGATACATAGTAAGCCTCTTTATGAGACAGTGGAGGATAATGATGTGAAAGGCTTTAATGACGATGTTCTCCTGCAGATGGTTCACTTTCTTCTGAATAAACCAAAAGAAGACAAGTCACAGCTGCTGGAAAGCCAGGAGAAAACATGTGACTCAGGACTTTGAGGGTATTTACATTTCAGTGGAGGAACAATAAAAAGAATTTTAAAGATTCTGTAACTGTCAGTTATTAAACACACTTATTTTTGTAGTGCATATTTCTTACGTTAACCTGTAATTAGGCCTCATTCTATTCAGATTCTTTACTGAAGGATTTAATTTTAGATATATGTTGATTTAAAAAGTTTGTTTAGAGCTGCAAAGATGGCTCAGAAACTACATGGTAGAAGGCAAGATGGCCTCTGACCTCCACCCATGTCCCCCCATTATGTAAATGCAAAATGAAAAAAATTTGTTTACATATTGCTAACTAATAAGAGTATTGGACTATATATTTAGTGCCTTGGTATTTTACATCATTGGACAATAATTGAAATACTTGGATATGTAGGTGTTTTATTCGATTTTATTCTTTGAAGAAAACAGCTTTAGAGCATTATTCAAACCTTGACTGCTGTTTTGCACAGATTAAAGTACGGCCTTTAATAAAATTTTCACTTTTGGCTTAATAAGGACTGAAAATTTAAGAAGTACTAATAGGATAGATTAATGGTGGAGTCTTTGTGAAGCCCAGCTTGTGCTTAATGGTGATGTCTAAGTGCTACTCCTTGAAGAACAGCCAGGCTGCCAGCTTTGGTCATGTGCTTCATTTGCTGATCCACTAAGCATCTAGAGTCGGTACGCTCTGAGTACATGTTGACTGGGCTTGAATTAAAGTAATCTTTCCGCCTTGAAATTGGTCTGTTCTTATTTACATTTTACATCAACAGATTTAGGATTTTTCTTTATGTAGCTCACACTTATTTTTTTCTGTAATTATAAATTTTTCCCTTCCAATTCTTTTTATAACTTAAATAGCTATTTATTATTACATAATTATTTGTAAAGGGCTAATTATCTAATTAAATTGAAGGGTTCTCCAGTTGATTGTTGGAGGATGTAGTATATGTGAGTCTAGGGTTCCTCTAGAGATGGCTGCCAGCATAGGGAGATGTTCACTTCCATGTGAACAATTCCTCTTTTCTTCTGAGGATCACCACATAATTGCATAGCTTAAACATCTGTGTAAGCATTACACCTTTCATGGCATTCATTCGATGAGCACAGTCCTGGTCCTCCTATCATGTTGAACACGCACATTCCCTTACCTTTCTTCAGATAATGCCATACAGCACGATTTTATTTTATGCGTAATTTCTCTTTATCCAGTGTCCCTAGATTGCATCAAATTGCATGGATTTAAATGCAAATCAGAGAGTTTAATTTCTGTTTATCTAAACTGTAAGTATCACCATTGTAACCGAAATGATCTGAGTTATTAAGATTATCCATAATTTTCCAATTTTAATCTTAAACAATTTTCTTGCCAGGTGTAGGGATATATGCCTATAATCCTACCACTTTGGAGGAGAAGGCAGGAGGATTAGGAATTCACAGTTATCCTGAGCTACATGAGACACTGTCTGAATCAGTTTTCCTGGACAAACTAATGAGTCATTAGCATGTCAATTTCAACTCCATCAAACAAGTTCATTATATAATTTATTTGTAAAAAGTATTTATATTTCCTATTCAAGAAAATTCACATTTCATCAGGCATATATTTAAATTGATTCCAAGTAGTTAGTTACAGGAAACAGAACTCAGATACTAAAGTACTTAGATTTTTTTTTTTTTCTTAAGATATTTTTAAAGTACTTCAGTACTCTGATCTGAATGCTTATTTTCCTCCACAAATTCATTGTGTTGAAATTCCAACCTCCAAGGCAGTGAGCCTTTTAAAATCTGGGGCCTTTAGAACATATTTGCAAGGACGCTCGGTGCTCAAAATTGGAGTTAATGTCCCTTGTAAAATAGGTGCAGGGAGTTAATAGTTCATCCATTCCACCATGTGAAAACAGCAAAAAAAGCACTGTCCATTGATGCACAACCCTCACCACACAATGCATCTGTTGGAGCCTTGATCTTGGAAGTGCTGGTATCTAGGGATGTATTTCTGTTTATAAGCTACCTCAGTTATGGTATGTTGTACCCCGAATGGGACTAGTAATGATGGCTAATGGTTTTGGTACTAAATTCTATGCTATGTTGCATAATCCTTGAATTAAAAGGTAATGTTAATTTACACAAAAGCACTGGGTATATCTTAATTCATTACTATTTATAGGAATGTTAGAATTGTAGCTTTGGGTAGAGGAAGGAAAAAAAATTGAACTAGGCACAAGGAAAATAAATGGGAAAAAATTGCCACAGAGACCATCAAGTGTATGTATGTGTATGTGTGTATGTGTATATATGTATATTTACAAATTTATAATAGTAACCAATATTTGATTGGACAGATTGACTTTCTTAATCTGAAAGGGCGTCTTCATTGTCAAAGTTGTAAAATTTTCTAAAACAACATTAGCAGTGAAAAAAACAAAAAGCCAACAAAAAAGGAATAAAATATTCCACAAAGCCTGAGAAATGACATGATGTTTCAAGTGTTTGATTACTGTTGAATAGTAAGCAGTGTTAGACTACAATTTGGCAACAGCTACTGCCTAAGTAAGCTCAGCTTTGTATTAAATATAGCTGTGTGACTCCAGCTTTAGACTGCTATCATAATTGGCCTGTTCTGAATATTTCTGTAAGCTATTCTCTTCAGTATGACTGGATCTGCATTTCTTAATTTCCTTTCTATTCTCCCTGAGGGAAAAATTCTGAGTTTTCTTTCTTTCTTCATCATTCTACAGAATTCTGCTTTTCACTTTGTAAAATAAAATTGTAGATAAAATCTGACATTCAAAATTTGCTTTGGAAACCTGTAGTAAGTGGCGCCAAAAGATATTTAGTGTGTTAGTTGTGTTTGGACTTTTAATTTTCTTTTAGAGTGCTTTGGTTTTATTTCTCTCTGCCACAGGAATATTCTCTCTCTCTCTCTCTCTCTCTCTCTCTCTCTCTCTCTCTCTCTCTCCCTACCCCCCCGCCCCTCCCTTCCTCCTTCTCTCTTTCCCATTCTCCCTCCCTCCATCTCTCTGTGTTGTTCCAGAGATTGAACTCCATTTGTCAGACTTGGTGGCAAGTGCCTTTGCCAGCAGAGCTACCTCACCATCTTCTGGTGCTTTATTTTTAACACTTGGTAATGAAATGCCATTGGATTAAGAATGCAAGTAATGTTTTCTAGAAATGAATCAAACTGATGGGAAATCCAAATTGATAAATGGAAGTGGAATCTCATGCTCTTCCTAATATTTTGTATTTGGGGCCAAATTAATGAGACTTTGTTCCAGTCCTTGGTGACAAGTGAACTGAATGAGCCAAAACTTATTAATAAAAGACAAAAGAGGGCCTGGAGAGATTGCTCAGCAGTTAAGAGCACTGACTGCTCTTGCAGACACCTCTGTTCAATTCCCAGCACCCACTTGGCAGCTAACAACCATCCTAACTCTGATTCCATGGAATCTAATGCCCTCTTTTGACTTCTACAGGCATTGTACAACATGGGTGCATTTATGTACATGCAAGCAATACAGTTATACACAAAATTAAATATAGAAAAGAGAAAAATGCTTTATTTTACAGTAAATAAATGATTATAAAGTTGCATAATAGTTTATACGTATTCCTTCAGAATATGATGTACTAATGTGTGTGTGTGTGTGTGTGTGTGTGTGATGAGACTTTTTTTCTAACAAAGGCCTTAGCCATACTATATAGATTTATGATATAACAATATACACCCCAAATAGTTAATTTCTAGCTTTGAATTACTTTAGGAAAACTTATTTGAGGTTTAGTCTCTGGGAAATGCTTCTTTTGGTGTTTAGTTATGTAAGACTTGGCTTTTATTTGCAAACCAACAGTATAGGACAAGGAGCTTCTGAAGTCTTCGAAGAAGTTTATTATAAATTCTAATAAAGAATGTAGGCAGGAAAAGTAAGGGGATTATAAAACATCCAAATTCCCAGACTTTTTTTTTTTAAGTGGGAGGATCTGACAACTCCAGGTATATTACTTGCACGTCAGCACAAGCAGCTGCTAGGAATTCCCTCCTCTGTTTTTTGTCGCTGGGCCATACTTCACTCTGTCACAATGCCTGCCCCCCTTCTTTATAACGTGGCCAACATCACTGGGTCTACCTTACTAATTTCTGTGAAATCTTTTGTTCCTGAGACATTGAGTTTGTGAACCCCAAAGCCCAGATTGATTGCTGTTGGGACCTTGTATTACATACAGATAGCAAGGCTCAACCTTTACAATTATGTTTTGGGTTTCAGAGTCTGTTTTTTACCAATATACAGTACAATAATCATAAATTCAGAGGGATTCAAGTGAAAGTTTTGCTTTAAACTTCTCTATTTGCCAGGAATTTGTTGACTTGAGGGCTTTAGTAGCTTCCTGAATATCTGTTGGTTGGAGACATCCTACTGTTCTTTCTGTGGACCTCTCTTAAGACACTTTATGTGATGGCATCTTGCAAGAGAAAATCTATACAGAGTCTGCTAGCAAGACCTTTGGTTAAAAACAAATGGATTATGTAATGATATGACTGGTTGGGGGTATTCATTTGATGAACATCCTAGATGTTTCTGGAAAAGATAAACATAAATGAAGAGAGTAACTGGAGAATAAGGATACACATGTCTAGAATTAAAGTTTTCATAAACTTTAACACTGCCGATTCTTATGCCAGAAACAATAGAAACAGTGTGCACAGAGGCAATGATGTATTAAGTGAATGTAGGAAGTTAAAAATTAGGAGACAATTTCTAATGGAAAGAAATGGAAGATTAAACTGTATTCTGGATTGCTGTTGGCTGTGTTCACTTGTGTGTACCAAGTCTATAGTTTATACTTTGCTGCCCAGTAGGGTTTTTTTCCAATATTGATTAATAGCATACCTGTGGTTATTAAGTGATCCTTCTATAAATTACTAAGTACTGCACATGATACATTAATTTCTTTTGCAAAGGATTTTGAGGGATTATACATTTTTTTCTGAGAAATGTAAAGTTTACCTAATAAAATGTGGCTAGTTTTCAATTGATATTGCTAATGCAGGCTGATGTTCATAAATGTATTTGAATTGGCATTGGTGCAATAT